AATGTTAGTAGAAGTAGATTTCAACACCTTTAACATGACGAAAAAGTCACATTGTAGGCGTCCAGCCACATACGCCAAACCACTTTGATTCCTTCACTTATGAATTTGTATCATCCATGGAAACATTGCTCAAAGTGGTCTGAGATCAACATGAATGGATTGAGAGAAGCTGCTGCAAGCGATAATCTCTGGTACTTTGATTGATGTCAGGTGCTAAATTAGTTTAAATGATTGATTGAAATGCAATTTTTTCGATCATGAACGTTGATGTAATTTCACCGGGTGCTGGGTGCTTGGCTCTAATCGGGCATGCCGACTTTTCCACAAGAGGTAGAATAGCCCATCGTTATTCGGACAATGGTATCGAATGGTACCTCAAGAAAAGTGCCAAGCTAGGACACTTTGGCTTCCTGTCCTGTTTTCTGGTGTGTCAAATATAAGAAGGCTGTCTGAAAGATAGCGAGGGCTCAACTACATTGCTTGAGACAACTTTCAATGATTAGATTTGTAACGTGATCAAATAGCAAATCATTGAGAGGAATAAATTGAATTGAATGTGAGCTTAAGAGTAAAATTTGATGCATTGTAATGTAAATAAAGCAAAGTTAAGGTTAAAAACTTGCAGGGTGCAATTCGACACAAACCTGAAAACTTTTCCGCTTCTGGGAGGTTTTCCTTGAACAGTTCTGCATTTTTTCGATAACTTCCTAATCTCTTACAATTCTTCGCCAAATGATGCTTGTAGGCGAATACGTTCCTGTAAGAAGAGTCAAATCGCTTCAACAGATCCTGCACATGAATGACTAGGACGATAGAAGTTATGTGAGAAAAATGAATCCCAAACAATTCGCCAACAATCAAGTAGCCAATATCATAGGATATTCTCAAACCTCCTCATCAATGGTAGATAATGAAACCCAAAGTAGAGAGCAATACCTATGATTCGAAAACACTACATACTCAATCCGTTCACCCCGCCGTAACCCTTCATATAGTAACCGATTATGTATGACACTTGTGCTGGCCTTCTTGAAAAGCGAATCGAAACTTGAATTGATTAGTGAAATTTGTTAACAGGGCTTGTGCTGCCAACTTCAATAAGCGTCATCAAAGACCCGCGAAACTAAAATTCGGCTTACCATGGTAACTTTTGTGAGAAGACACGAATTCTCTAGGACCAACCTTGCCACCAGTAGGTGGCACCTTCTCAACCTTAAAAAACTTATAATACAGGCCCAACAATACTCTACGAGTATGTTGCAAAAACACGTTTTCCCCGTTCTCTTGACTATTAACCATTCAACCTTCGTAGGTGTGGGCAGTAGAAACGAAATAGTCGCATCGAATAGTCGATCGGCGGGAGAGGCGCCGCGCGCGAAGGAATGTAGCAGAATGCAGCAGCAAGTAAGAAATACAGGAACAATAGAACTAATGTAGAATCATGCCAACTATAATAATTGCGTAGCGATTGAGCTGTATGAAGAACGCTAGAACTCTTATAACTAGGCAAATGGTCTGCCACAGCCGCATGCGGTGAATCGATTACACAAAACCGTTCCTACTGCCCGTCTCTCAATTTGCTCAGCTACCATCCGTTGTCGTTCCCTCCTATTTCTGCATTTGCGAGCGATGAGCCAGTCACTTCGTGCTTCACGTTCCCTGCTCCTCTTTTTATTCAGAGGAAAAGTTTGTCCATTTCAACATAACATTGTTGCTGAAACATTACATTTCTGCACTTTCTGATTAATCCTCATCATATTGGCATGTTTGGAAAGAAATGGCCATTTTGAAAACAACTTCTTGAACAACCATTTCGACAATTTTTCGAATGTTTGAGTACTTCTTAGCTGATATATTATAATGAAAAAATATAATTATACCAATTGGGAAATATACACTAACGCGTGCATTACAACAACGGACACCTCAAAAAGTGTTATGAATTTTTGACCTAAGTTATGCCCCTCAATAATTTGGGCCATAAGATCTGATGGAATTGAGCTATGAATTGATGTAGAAAGTACAGCCCACCGCAGTCCCCACTGGGTAATTTGTTGACCAATTCCCCGCTTTGCCAATTTGTTCCAGGCGTCTGAACTGTTATTGAAGTGCAAGCCCCGCACCACTGTTGTTACTCAGCCGATACAGAAGTTCGCAACAGCCAGACAGACAGACAGACGCGGTACATTGCACTCGAAAAGAAGTGATGATTTCAGAACATTTCTGGTATCAAAAACTTTCGATCTTACCGTCGCCCACCTCAGGTGTATTCTTCACCAAATTGAATCACAGAATAAACATGTTCCATTTGTTATGCTTTTTTTGATTTACTTTCATAGTGGCAAGAGAGTTGCTCATGTTTTCCATGATATATGTAAAACAAGGTGTCAATGCTTCATCACAGAGCACAGGTGAAAAGGTGGCTCATGAATTTTTATTCTGGCAATTTTTCACTTCAGGCTGGTCATGCAATCGTACGGAAAACTGCTGAGAACAAAAACGCATCCATTGAATTAGTTCACGAGCATATTAAAGTTTCGGACTAATACAGGAGACGAACGCAGTGAACGCAATGAAGAGACCTAATTTTGAGGCCAATAGTGGATGTCAGCCAGCATCAATGCGCAATCCAGTTGATCACGGGTTTCACAGTATGTTACCCGCATGCAATCACAGTCTATACCGGATGCAGTTGCTCAAACGAGACCCAACCCTGACCTACGTCGGAAGAAGATCATGCTATCATTTCTGTGTGATATTATAAGGGTGTTAATCGTTATTATTATATATAGAGCGCTCGCGTCTGTCTGTCTGTCTGTGTGTACGGAAATTCGATACGCGGAAGTCGGGTCAAGTTCGTAATGGGTTAGGCATAGGGAAAGAGCAACACAGCACATGCTCAGCGGAGCTCCGCCCACAAGAGGCGGAACATGCACACGAGTGGGCGGTGTCATGGGCAAAAAATTATTAACTAGGTTCCATAACGCCCAGACGCCGAGAAGAAGGGCAAAGTGAGGGATGGATCAACATTTAAAACAAAGAAAACTTGCCGCCGGTGGGCGGAACGTTCTCGCAGTGGGCGGTACTTTCCACAGAGATTCATAACTCGATTCAACGAAGGCGTTGAGGCCAGGAAAAAATAAAAAGAGTGAGCAAGGCCTTATGCGCTCTGGGCATGCGTACGCCCACGGTGGGCGGCGCATGCGTTGGGTGAAAGATACTTTCCCAAAACGGACGTAACCTCGTTCGGAAACGTTCTAGAATGCAGAAAAAGTGGTTAGAGGTGATGGAATCAAATCCTCGGAGTGGGCGGAGCTGGCACAGGTAAGCGGAGCTGGGACCAAAAACTCATTTCTTCAAAAACTTTCTAGAATGCAGAGAAAATGGTAGGAGCAGTCAAAAGAAGGGTGGTTTATTGTGGGAAGGGTTTGCACTAAGGTGGACGGAGCTACGATCGGCAAGTAATAATCCTGTTCAAATGAATTATATCAAGCGTGATGCTCTCAGCAGTTCAGCGTTCCACTCTAGAGAATTGTCTTATACTGATTATCCAACATTCGGCTGAACGAACTATCGAAAACTATCGAGTTGAAAGGGGTTGCATTAAGACAAGATTCACCTGTATCACCTGTATCACCTGTCGTCCCGTTGATCATCGAAATCCTCGAGCGGGCGCCAGTAATGTCTCCATTCGTCCCTGTCACGAGCCAAAGTGGTCCAGTGAACCGTTCTCGCTTCAGGGACACGAGATTAACATTCCTTTCGTTCAGAGCTTTCGTGAAGAAGTCTGACCATCTCGTCAGCGGCCTTCCTGGTGTTCGTTTGATGTCCCGAGGGATCCAGTCAGTAACCGCCCTGGTCCAACGGTCATCACTATATCGCATAACGTGTCCGGCCCACCTGATCTTCGATTTCTTGGCGTAATCAACGGCATCCCTGATCTTCGTTCGGTGACGGAGCTCGGAACTCCGGATTCCCTTCTGCACTTGCGTGTATAGGGAAATTCCGAGCATCGTCCTTTCCAAAGCGCGTTGAATAACGCTGACAGCATGCTCATCCTGCTTTCGTAGAGTCCAGGTCTCCGAGGCGTACGTCAAAGCAGGAAGGACAGCAAAGCGAAGTGTCGAAAAGGTGAGCGCGGAGCCGGATGTTCTTTGTCTTCTTCACTACTCCCTCGATATTCTTAAATGCTCCCCACGCGGCGCGTTTCCTTCTGCACAGCTCTGGAGCTAGGTCGTTCATCATGTTGACTTCCCGACCTAGATACACATAGCTAGAGCATTCGGAGATATTCGTTCCGTTTAACGTGAAAGGAGCATCAGGTACCAATCCGTTTCTCATGAACATCGTCTTCGTTAGGTTCAGTCTCAAGCCGATCTTTCCACAAGCACTATCAAACTCGGCCAGCATTCGTTCCGCCTGCTCGATGTTCGGTGTTATAAGCACAATGTCGTCTGCAAAGCGGAGGTGATGTAGGAAGCGGCCGTCGACCTTCACTCCCAAGTCTTCCCATTCCAAATGACGCATGATATTCTCGAGGGCGGCACTGAAAGGTTTGGGCGAAATAGTATCGCCTTGCCGAACACCTCTCTTCACGTTGACAATGACTTCCTTATAGAATGGTGAAATCCTGGTCGTGAAACTGTCGTAGAGCTCACGAAGCATCCTTATATATTGCGTAGGAACACCCTGGTTGCCCAGGGCTTCAATTACCGCTTCTGTCTCAACGGTGTCAAAGGCTTTCTTCAAGTCGATAAACGTAAGACATAGCGGCATTTTGTACTCTCGCGATACTTCAATGAGCCTTGTTAGGGTGTGGATATGATCGATTGTACTGAACCCTCTCCGAAACCCTGCTTGCTCGCATGGCTGTCCTTCATCTAATATTCTGCCAATCCTGTTTAGGATGACACGAGTGAAAAGCTTGTAGATTACGGACAGCAGGCAGATTGGGCGATAATTGCCAATATCGTCTGGATCTCCCTTCTTGTANAGACCTGATGATGCAAGCTAGGAAGATCAAGTACGACGTCATCGGACTGACCGAGACGAGAAGGCATCGCCCGCTGCACGCTGTATTTGAGACTGGAGAAGAACTGTTCCTTGGAACATGCGACAGTAGAGGCGTCGGCGGCGTAGGTGTCCTCGTCAATACGCACTTGGCCATGAACATCGATTCGTACGAAAGCTTAACAACCCGAATCGGACGTTTGCGATTGAGAAGATGCGGTTCAATCCCAGCTCTAACCATCTTCGTTGCTTACGCACCAACATCGAGCTACGAAGAAGAGGAGTTGGAAGCGTTTTATATGGATCTGGAGAGGCTCTACAGAGAAGACCACACTTTCTTCAAGGTCATCGTCGGTGATTTTAACGCCAAGATCGGCCCCAGAAGAACGGCTGAAGAGCTTCACATCGGGACTCACGGAGTGGAATGGAATGAGCAGGGTGAAAGGCTGTCCGAGTTTATCATGACGACCCACACCATCCATGGTAACTCGCAGTTCCAGAAGCCCTCTCATTTAAGATGGACATGGGAGTCACCTGGTGGACAGTTCCATAATGAAATAGACCACATCATCTTCAATCGGAGATTTTGCCTGACCGACGTCGCTGTTGTTCCGAAGTTCTACACGGGATCAGACCATCGACTCCTCCGCGCTAGATTCTGCTTCTCAGTGCGTGGGGAGAGAGCTATGAAGTTTCGGAAACGAAGCCCCAAGACCTCCATCAACAGGGATCACTTCGCTTCCCTTGCGAGTAAATGGGAGGATTCCGTTATCGACAACATCGACGAGGAATACAACCGGCTCGTCGAGCATCTTCACGATAGTGCTACGAAAGCAGAGAGTCTACAAGTAGCCAAGAGACGACTCTCTTCGAAGACTCTCGAGCTGATACGCCAGCGTGGAATTGCGCGAGCTACAGGCAATTATCAACAAACGTCCGAACTTGCGAAGCTATGCAGAGAAGCGATAAAAGAAGATCTGAAAGAGAGAAGAGCAGCAGTCATGGACGAAGCCGCCGAGGCCGGAAAGAGCATTCGCAAAGCCCGACGGAGCTTCGCCAATTACAAGACAAGATTAGACGTAATTAATCTTTGGTCAATAATGATGCATGGCCGCGAGTTAATGCTGCATCCACCGCGTAACCGATTCACGCCACTCGAAGGCCATTCAGTTCGGTCGTTGCAGAATCGCGAATGTTAAAACCCTCGCCGAGGAAGGAAGTATGGAATCAATGTCAAATCTTATATAGCCAAAATCTTTGTCGAAAAAAAAACAGAAGTTGCATTAAAGAGGATTTCGGAAATTGATAAAATATCGCACAGGTAATCGAACAAAAGAGGAATACATCGCAATTAAGGCTTGCTCATCATGGAAAAAAATTTTTTGACACGCTTTAAAATCCCAAATGCTTTCCAAAAAATCCAATATCATGGTTTCTAGTCTTTTTGTACCGCTACTCTGCAAGCGATGTTTATCTAAAAATGAAAGATTATACGTAGGTCTTCATATCACACAAACATACATCTGCCCAGTTCTTCGTGAAACCCTTGACCGACATTACAGCGTTAGTGCCGCATGTTGTGTTGCCCGCAGTCACATCCACTGATAAACATCTGCTGCTGTCGAATCTGATCGTGAAGAATAAGGGCAGTATAGTAGGTCACCATTGGAATTGAAATATGAACCGGCGCGTGCGCCAAGCATCGCTCAAAAGATGCCTCCTAACTCCTAGCCAAAGTAGATTACAGCGCGTGGCATAATCTTCAGCAATCGATATGATATATTTCCAGAGCGAAGCCTGTTCCTACTCCTCTTTCGTGTATTGCCATTGTTCCATGACAAGAAAGAAATGAACGTAAAAAGCTCGCTCGGACACTAAAAAGTGCCGAACTCGCCTCTCACAAGGGAAGGATACTGGGTCGCAGTGGCCGTTCGAAATGCGAATTATACCCGCACATGTTTTTAGACGCTGTTTTCAAATCTATTGACATTCCATATCTGTGAAACGATTCTGTGAACAAAGTTACGGGATCATTTCTTCCATGTGACATGAGGTTTTGTCGAGCATGTAAGGAGGTCGTGTGGTCGAGCCAGATGTGAAGGAATGGTGCAACAGGTAAGGCAACGAGCTCTCAGGCGTAACGCCAGGGTTTCCATTCCGAGAGCGTGAACGTGTTTTGCTTTTTCATAAAATGTATGCCAAAGACTTGCAAAATAGCTTTACATCTCCCATTGACTACCTGCAGCGCTACTGAATCAAAATAAACATCGAAAACCATCTTTCATTACAGGTGCTGCAATGCACTTTTCGGATCCCATAAACTTCCAAGGCAGTATAGTTGCTATGATTGGTGAGTTCAATAATACTTTCTCAAACTGGATTTCCTCTATGTTAGTTACGGTTCGCTATGTGCTCGCGTAGTGCCGCAGATGCCGAGTTTTTTGAACAGGAACGGTTCCATCACTCTTAAGTGGTACACGCCTTGATCTATGGGTTTCCTCCTGCCCAACGCTCAAGAGACGGGTTTGTTAAACTTTTTTTGGAGTAGAAAATTTCGACTGTTACCGTTTACGTTAGCTACACTATTTACATAAGCATACTTTCACATGGTGTAGTAAATGACCCTGGTTATCTTTGACGCCGCTTATGGCTCTTCATATACTTTGACCCATGATATTCTGATCGGTGATCTCTTCTGTTCCTATTCTTCAGTCAACATTTCAGCATCGGAAACCTGGTTGAGAAGAACAAGGGAAAAGCTACATCATGGCCCCCTCTCACTTTTCACTCACCGCTTCCATCAACATGTGATGAATCGTCGACCAAATTTGTACTTTCATATTTATCTCAATGTGATGGTAACATAGGTGTTTTCCTCCGAAACCTCGGCCAAGTTGTTAAACCTTTTGTCAGGTCAACATTCGGCCTAGTCGCCTCCGTCAAAGCCTGGCAGCCAGAAAATATTTGAGATGCATCTTGATCAAACGGTGTTCCAGACTTCAGCTTAGTTCATGCACTGCCTATAAATGTCTAGCAAGCCTTGCAGATTGCAACAGATAACCCACCTCAGACGTCCAGAAAAAGACCTTTCACCATCCTTTCAAGCTATTACTCAAACCTTTCACAGCGGGTGGTCTGAGGTGTCCTGACTCGTGGCTTGACGCTAGTGGCAATCTAAATTCACATATATCAAGAGACGGGACATGCTTTTTAGTTATGGCTGGGCGATAATTTCTATTCTCACAGAGTTGGCGATTTATGGACAAAACTTCAGACACAAACGGAACTCGAACACGCACTTGTGCTTTCTGGGCACCGCGCTCTATCCCTTTCATTACCGATAACCCGCTTGCCTTCACCCTCTTAATGGCTTATATTCCTATCAACTACCTGAAAATCTCAAAAGCACAAGTACTTGTTCGAGTTCCGCCCGAGACTGAAGTTTTGTCCATAAATCGCTAATTTTGTGAGACTTTCGGAATACGTACTGCAGCGAAATAACAGCAGTTAACAAAACATCAAGTCGTTGTTCCGTATTGCTTTGGCTTTTCGAGTTCGTTGACTTCCGCATCAAGATCCTGATTAATACATCAAATTCTACATCTTCGTGACGTCGCCTCCTACGGTATCTCAGGGGCGTTTCAGGCCTTGATCTCATCAGGCCACCCGAGTGTTCCTTGACTCTGCATATTAGAACTCTTCCCGTCTCGCCTATGTGTTTGTCTCCGTTTACAAGGGAAGGATAATCGGTCGCAGTGGCCAATCGGGATGAGATGTATACCGCAGTAAGTGGTTTCGAACGCTGTTCTCAAATCTGCGTTTCAAATCTGCTAAACGATTCTGTGAACAAAGTTACGGGACCAGTCCCTCCCGGTGTTATACCACTACAATGAACAGGTCACCGAGCCGAGCAATCCTCTTACCTGTCAACGGTGGCCTAGCGGATAGTGTGATGGACTAATAGGTGTGACATCAAGGTTTGATTCTGATGCATGCGCCCGTCTTGCTTCTCCAAGAAATGTCTCTCAAACGCTTGCAAAACGTTTTTGGGCTCGATGTTGACCATCTAAGGAGCGAACCCACATTTTAGGAATCCAGGGAACAGTAATCCAATGAATCTTTTTACCACGACGACCGAACATATACGCCTCTTTACCCCGCCAAGATGGTGTTTCGAAATCTTCGGTGGCTCCTTGCACTTACGGTAGACGGCGGTCGAACGCTCATCCGACCACAACCCTCTTTGGGAGGGATGCGGTCCACATATTTTAGGAATACTGTCCACGCTTTCGAAGCGGTGGTAAAAGTTAACTGGCATTGTTGAAAAAATTCGGTGGGACAGTAGTTTATATTGTGTGCTTTAATAGCTTTGTGTGTACATATGATTATCCGCTGATTCATTCCTGAGGTAAACGCCCTTTCAAGAAGCCCTTTCATGAGGTAAACGTGGTGATGCGGTGGAGCATGATACCACGGCTAAACTCAAAACCCTGAATCCACCTACGACTTACTTTGAAGTTGTCCTCTATGGGCTTTCATTGCTGATTTGAAGCAGTATATTGTGGAAATGACTGTCGCGCAATGGGACTCCTCTGTTAGTTTTATGATAGCTTATCCTTCTGAATTATCTGCGAATTCCATAGGGACACAGATTGGTTCGCTTGTCTCTCATCTTCGTAGAGGCACGGCTTCTTTTGTCAGTCGAACAGTAGAAGGCTACGGGCTCTCCTATCAGCGTCATAAAATTGGGATTCATTGGCCAGATCACGAACTTGAGGCTACGTTTCACTTCGGAACCTCTATATCCTCTATATATAAGCTCTTCATTACCGCCCTTTCCTTGATGGTGCCCACGTTATGCTGCAAGAAAGTCTTCCATCAAATATGATGACACCACTTACGGCCAGAAGATTCGCTGGTAAATGTTGAAGAGCGTTTGATCAGATGTATCATTTGGAACTTTTCCTTGAAGCCTCTTGAGCTCAATTCGAGCAAATGTTTGGAATTCCTCTTCTGCTGAAGCTGGAGCTCCTTATTCGGCCGGTGAGGGGCAAAAAAATTCTCTTGTAATACCTTTTCAGTGTTCCTAAATTGTGAGGGAGCCCTGTAGATGCCCAACATTGAGCTCAAAAACGTTTCGCAAGCGTTTAGGACGCATTTCCTAGAGAAACAAAGCAAGCGCATGCATCAAGGAATCGAAGCTTGATGTCATGCCTTCCAGTCCGTCGTCATATCAGCTGCGCCACCGTTGTACATGTACGGCTTTGTTCGGCACGGTGATCCGTTTGGTACAGTGGTATATACAGGGGAGGCATCGGTCTCGCAACTTTGTTCCAGAATCGTTTAACAGATTTGGAATACGGATTTGAGATCAGCGTTTGAAACCACCTACCAGGGGTATACATTTCATCTTGAATGGCCACTGCGATCGAGAATCCTTCCCTATTTAATATTCTCTCACCAATTTGGTTCACATCATTGCTCACTTGGTTGCAACAAACCAAATGATTTTTATGAACTATCTTTGAAGGAAGAGACACTTCCACTAGTTGTCGAAGAAGCTAATAGACAGGAGAGAATAAAGTATTCTTCCTTCCATGTTTGATGATGTACCACCGAAGCCAGGAAATTATCCGATTCCGCATACAAATGCGAGCATTGCAGATGCATGGGCTCGATCAAGATAATTAAGATGAAACACTCCGAGGCGATTTAAGATCTTTATGGTAGACAGCCCACAACCAAGGATACAGCGGCTGTATCTACAGTGGTCATGGTTAATCGACGGACTCTTGAATCAGGGAATGCATCTGTACAGATAAACATTTGTCCGGCATTCGAAAAATCTCAAAAGGATTACTAATAAATAGGTATCGCTTGCCTTTGCTTCTTAATGGCTTATGTTCCTATCCACTACATGAAAATCCGAAAAGCACGAGTACTTGTTCGAGTTCCGCCCGAAACTGGAGTTTTGTCCATGAATCGCCAACCTTGTGAGACTTTCGGAACACGTACTGCGGCGAAATAACAGCAGTTTACAAAACATCAAGTCGTTGTTCCGTATTGTTTTGGCTTTTCACGCTGAGTTCGTGGGCTTCCGCATCAAGATCCTGATTGATACCTCGAATTCTACATCTTCGCGACCTTGCCTTCTACGGTCTCCCAGGAGCGTTTCAGGCCTTAATCTCTTCAGGCAACCCGAATTTTCCTTTACTCTGCATATTAGAAGTCTTCCCGTCTCGCCTATGTGTTTGTCTCCGCTTAGCTTGCCCGTGATCAAGTTGCCCGTCGTTCGTTGGAGCAGATGACACGGTGGGGTTCATACTGTAACGATAATACGAGCGGTTTTGTACCACTCTCTGCCCTAAATTTGTAGGGAGTCTCTCGTCCACCCGGACCATATCATAGAGATCACACATGCGCGGAGCCGTTCTTACGTCTGAACTGACGGAGTCTGAAATGAGTGGAAGGCAAAAAGCACCTTCTCCCGCACGAGGTCAAGAACTTCAAGGTATTGGTGATATGGGCAGGGATGAATGTAAGTAAATGGGCCAGCATGATGTTTAACAACCATGAAATTTTGTTAGTAGGACCTCCTACGCTGTTCTAAGGGATTGTGTGAGGGCAGGGGGTTCAATGAAATTTGATGTAGAATGGACCATGTTCTCTTCTCTT